TGCTAAATGCACATAGTTGTGGTGGGTGCTCCCAAGAACTTTCAGAACCTGGGTCATATTAAAAATCCCTTTGCTTATAGTGGTGGGAATGGCTTTTCCACCCACCTTTTCTTTTTCTGAGCTTCTCTTCACACCCCAGAGAACTCTGTTGCCATGGAAAGTAGAAGAGCTTTGAATTTTGCTAAGTCAGCTTTCTATTATGAAGAAAGCACAGAACTTGATTATAAAACTGAAGTCACTGGCCAGGAAATGCCATAGGAGATCATTTAGCCCTATGATCTCCATTTAGCCCTATGATTCACTGTGCTTGTTGCCTGGCCACCTTTTATATTGCAAAGCAGAAACATTGATCCAGTCTTTACTGTATTTGAGGTTGCCTTGCCTAACTACCTTTTGCCTTGGCTATGAAGGTCAACAATGTTGAATGTGAACATTTTGAAGGCTCTTAAAAATAACAGGCAAAAATAGAAAAGGTGGAATATATAAAGACCTGCTGGGTTGCCCCACCCCAGCTGTCTTGGAATCTAATTAGCAAGCTGTTTTTGTGAATGTTTAGAATACTGAATGTGCTCCTGGGGGTGACAGCAAGAGGGGAGCACTTCCCTGCAGTAAACTGTAACTGTGCCAGTGATTTGTGAGGTTTTAGTGTTCGTATTTGACAGTCACCTACACTCAGTGATGACATTTGGTTTCCCTTAAAGGTCTGTTTAGAAGTGAAGCGCCTTGGCCCACGAACATCCCTTTGATTATACCAGGTCCCTTTCTTGATTTCCAGGTTCTCTGAAAATCTTCCCCATCTTTTATTCCAATTTGAATTTTAAAAAACAAGAAAGAGGATGAGTAAAGTATTCGGGAGTAAAGAGAGAAGTGGCTTTGGATGGGGTTTGCAACCCTAGAATATTATTTTAGGCAGCATTTAATACCTTGTTTGGGCCTAGGAGCCTGTGGACTCACAGGCTATGGCTGGGAGCCCATCCAGCACCCAGTAGAAATCAAACCAGAGGCTCACTGAGCTAGACCTTGGTAGGGAATCAGAGCAAAGCTGGGGGTGATACAGAATCTAAGTCTAAGGACAACTGAGTCAACAGGCAAGATTGTTTCCTGCCTGTTAGAAGACGGATCCTCTGGCCAGTGGCCCTGCTCTTTGCCAATTATGGACTGGCAGAGACGGCTGGAAGAGCCTGATCAGCTACTCAGATGACAGCTTGCTTTGGAGATTAATGTTCTGTCACTGAGCAGCATCTAATACACATTCATTCAACACCTTTGTATATAAGGCCGTTCTGACTACTACTACTGACAGAAAAGAATAAGACACATTAACAAATTGATATTCTACTCTCTTTTTAGCTCAGGTCTATGAGATCTGTAATGTTTTGCTTATTTTAATTTGGACAGGGTGTTTTTGTTGCATAGAAATGGCTCCTAGTGAAGAGGGCCATCCCAATGAGAAACTTTTGCCAAAGACTGTAAATTCAGATACAGAAATAACACTAGATACATATAGGGGTATATTCCAGAACATGTAGAGAAAGGAAAGTGGTGTTTAGGGTTATAATTTCAGATGTTTTAAAATATAGCAAGCACATCACTTTGGCCCAAAATCAAAATGTGAAAGGGCCTCTGAGTGCTCACAGGAAGGAGGAAGAAGGTGAGGCCAAAGTAGGGTAAGTTCAGGGAGGCAGGCAAAGGGTCCTGCCCAGATTCAAGAGAAGGGGACAGGTCACTAGTGGTATGGTCTCGTCCCTCAACTGTGGCCTTTTCTTGTCACCACATAGCCAGTGCAGCTCTTCATCATGTCCTCACTCAACTGGGTCTGAAGACAGGGAGAGTCCATGATGCATTCCAACTAGTCAGAAGCTCTCCTCCCCACCCTTTCTTCTTTACGTGGGAGGAAACCCTTTCCCAGTAGCCTCCTGACACTTTCTCTGACATCTCAGGTCTTGTGGCTTCCTCTAGACCAAGCAATAGTGAGGCTGAGAGAGATTGCTGTGCTTAATTCCACCTATGATTCAGCTTGCTCTGTGTAAAAGGAAGAAAGAGGGAATGGATGTTGGATAGGCAACTAGAAATATCTGCCATGCCGTACTTAGTCTCCATTTGGAAAATAGTAATCAATTGTATGGTCCAGTCATATCTCCAGGAGCTAACTTTCCTTCCAGAATTATGTTCTGGCTATTTATATCATTTTACTGATGGTTTTTTAAGAATCATGAACTTAAGGAAGAACCTAAAATATTTGGGCTTTGCCCAGAATTACAGGGCTTTGGTGAATCATGTCCCTTCTCAGGGTTGGCCTCTTGTTGCTTCACTCTGGAACATTTGTGAGTTGAAGTTTACAAGATCCATGTTTTTCTTCCATTTAATTCATATGTAGGAGGATGACTCTTAGGATTATATCACACCTCCTTAATAGGAACTAAAGTATGTCTGCTCTGAAAAATATGGCAAGGGGTTTGGCATGCATGTCAGGTTTTGCTAAAAATTATGAGAATCTATTTTCTGGTTTGTAGAAATTTTGATCCCCTTACCTGAATTCAGCAGTGACTATTTCAATCATTAGAATGACTTTCTTGAGCTTTATATAGATAAAAACAGTTCTCAAGGGGAATGCATTCCAGATGCACCCCAGCACATGCATGGAAGAAGGCATCGGCGTTTCTCCTTTCTGAATGGCCAGTGCCCCCTTAGCACGCAGCTGTCCACAGGAACAGGTGCCCCCCCACCCCGGTGTTCTGAGTTGGACTATCCCAGCCTTTCTGCTTTGAACCTTTTGTGAATCATCATTATCCACTCGTGGAAGAGATGCCCTAAAATGGTTTTGAAAACCCAATGGCAGATACACTCCTCCCCTCCACCTACAGAAATAAATCCCTGTGAATGAATTCACTGGCATTTATAAGATGGACACAAAATTAAATCAACTCCCAGATGCTTTGCTTTAATTAAATATTCCTGGAATTTTACAGTATATGTTTCTGTGAAATAAATCAGGGTTTGGCTGATGGTTGGTTTTTGTCAAGAATTAGTCTATTTTGAATCATCTCATTTGGGGATTGGTATAAGTCTGCCTGTGGACAGCATAAATAGAGCCACTTCCCTGCAGATGGTCTGATATAACATGAGGGTGGCAAAGAACATGCAGCTCCTCTCTGCTGGCAGCAAACAGCCTATTTTCTGCCTCTTTAGTGTCTGCAATTTCAAAAATGTGATTTGGGGCACCTGAGAGGCTATCAGAGAGGCCTATTCTTTTGCCTCATATCTTTTTTTAGTATTTATTCTTAAAAGGCTGTTCTCTTGCAGCAGACTGGCTGAATTGTATGTAATGTCTATAGGAGAGAACTAAAGTTTAATTAAAGTAAACCTACTTCACACATAGGAATTTGCTTTTCTTATCTCTTTCAAAGTTCTTTACTTAAAAAAAAAACAAAAATGCCAGAATTGCATATATACAACTCAAAGTGAAAAATGGTATTCAAATAGTTCTTCCAGTAAACTTGTCCCCACTTGAACCATTGTTGGAGCTTCTCTCTCTCTCTCTCTCTCTCTCTCTCTCTCTCTCTCTCTCTCTCTCTCTCTCTCTCTCTCTCTCTCTCTCTCTCTCTCTCTCTCTCTCTCTCTCTCTCTCTCTCTCTCTCTCTCTCTCTCTCTCTCTCTCTCTCTCTCTCTCTCTCTCTCTCTCTCTCTCTCTCTCTCTCTCTCTCTCTCTCTCTCTCTCTCTCTCTCTCTCTCTCTCTCTCTCTCTCTCTCTCTCTCTCTCTCTCTCTCTCTCTCTCTCTCTCTCTCTCTCTCTCTCTCTCTCTCTCTCTCTCTCTCTCTCTCTCTCTCTACCTCTCCCTCCCTCCCTCCCCCCCTGTATGTGTGTACATGTATGTGGGTGTACATGTGTATGCTAAAGGTTGATATTAGATGTCTTCCTCAATCGCCTTCCACTTTATTTTTTGAGACAAAGCCTCTCACTGAGCCTGAGGCCCAGTGGTAGACTAAACTGACAGACCAGAGAGCTCATGTGTGTGCTGGGGATCTGAACTCAGGTCTTTGTGCTTACATGGCAGGCCATATCCCATGCCCTAGAATTTGCCTTTAGACTTGACTTTTAGAAGAATCAAGACCTGTATAAGCAAGTTAGTCTCATTACAACTCATTTGCACCTGGTTCTGACTAAAACTCCACTTGATCCCTTTGTCAGATTTGGACTCATTAAATCAGTCATGGCATATCAGTGCTGAACAGGATGGCAAAAAAAATTCAGAATGGTCTGACAACTTTATTGAGTAAATGGTTCTGATCACCAGTTCTTTCGTGTGTGTGTGTGTGTGTGTGTGTGTGTGTGTGTGTGTGTGTGTGTTGTTGAAAAATAAATGAAAACAACTTTGAAAGAAGTTTGAAAAGCTAATAGAGACAAGCTTTCATGGGGTAGGGCTAATGTATCACTTATTCCATCAGAACTCCAAGGATTAAAATGCAGATGAATTATGAAAGCCTCAAAATATCATAACAACATTTCAGTGGGTCAAAAAAAATTAAGCAATTTTAGTACATGTGCGTATATAGAACATAAATCTGTTACGTGTACATACATTTTATATTTTTGTTTTCTATGTATTTTGTATAAAATGGCATTCATTGTTCAATGTATAATGAGGCATTCTTTGAAATGAAATCTGTCAGTGCATATTTACTGACTTGGCTGGACCAGCAAGGCAGTGGTCCTTTTAATCCACTGGAAAAATGGCTAAACTCTCTTCTGCAGCAAGAGAGTTCTGAAACCGAATCCAGCCCAGCTCCTTTCTTTCTGTTTTTAAGAATGTCTTTTAAATTTTAATCCTCCTTCCCAACTAAATGGATGTTGAATCTGATGCAGTTTTTGCCAAACCAAAACTGCCATGTCCTATGGCCTGAGGTTATAAAACATCCTAAGGATTTAGGGGAAAAGAATTCTTGACATGCACTCCTGGTGTTCACAGGACAGTGATCATGTTTCAATTCTCCATTTTCAGATAACAGTTGAAAGAGAGAGTGGTGAAGACGTGAGCACCCCCAAACATGGCAAGGAGGACCCAGACAACATGCCCCACGTGGGAGGCAATACCTGGGCTGGTGGAACAGGTTGGTAGTTCCTGAATCACTCTTCCCAAAGCTTCCTGAGCCTATCAGGCCAGTATGCCACCCCTGAGAAGGTTTGGGGACCAGCCATCCTTCTCAGCCTCCTCTGTCCCTCCTTTGGATGCATTCTTGCCCTCAGCCCCCTCATGTAGAAAGCCTGGCATTTAGAATCCCACAGATTCTGCCACCCTGTGACCTAAAACTGTTTCCACCATCACAACTGTTTTATCAGTGAAGGGGTGGGGATCATATCTGCTTCATATGATCATACTGAAGATTAAATGAGATTATAATTTTAAGGCATTGAGTATAACGGTTGACCTGAAGAATGTATTCACTGAAGTGATAATCCCTTCTTTTAAATTCCTTTCCTTTGGAATTGCACCAAAATTCTTTCTTGCACAACTAACTTTTGAAAAAAATAGTTCTTCTCTCCCATATCCTAAAAACCAGCATGTAGAGGACACAAGGCTTGGAGATAAGAGGCTTGGTGCATTTACACTGTGTTCCATGCCTTCCTCTTGGCCGCCCTACTAGACCATTGTTCCCAAGACGGCTGTCTTCCTTTTCCCTCTCAGCAGCTGTAGCAGACACATCTGCCGGACCACAGGAATAGGGCCAGACTGCACCCTGTCTGAGCTTATCTCAGCTGGGAGAAGTGCTGGCACAGCTCTGCTCTTCACCTTCCCTTAGGATGGTCTGTGCCTCTTGGCCTTGACAGGAAATAGGTTTTTGTGCTTGAGACAATGTGCCATCAAATAAGCTTGGGGATTTCTTGCCTGCTCTGTTTATTCATCAAGCATCAGCTTTAAAGAAAGCTATTTTTAGAAGTGTCCTTTGATCTGGAAGTTAGTGTCAAGCCAACAATATTTAATCCATATGGAATGCATTGTGGAACCTGCTGGCTACATGTCGGCTTCCCAGTAGTGCCTATTCCAGAGTGAAAGTTTTATTTGTTATTAAATGTGATTCTACTAGCTCCAATATCTGTTAAAACAAAACACTCTGCCTTTGCTTCCCCCAACCTTATATTTTCCAGTTGATCAAGGCTCTTGGACTTCAGTTTACCTTTTTCTGTCAATTTTGCCCTTCAGAATTTTCTACATTAAACTTAGCTCTTGGGCTAGAGAGATGGCTCAGCACTTAAGAGCACTGGCTGTTCATGTGGAGGACCCAGGTTCAAGTGCCAGCACCCACATCGTGGCTAACAACCATCTGTAGTTCCAGTTCCAGTGAATCTGACACCCTCTTCTGACTTCTGTAGGCATTGCACAACACAGGTGTACTTATTTGCATGCAGACAATACACTCAGACACAGACACATAAAATAATAAAAAATAAGTAAATAAATATTTTAAATTTAGCTCTGAACCAACAAGCCCTTTGGTTCATTCTCCATCATCAAAGTGTCTTCTTTCCTCCTGTTCTCACCCCCATCTTGTGAACTGGTTAGACAAGTCCAAGTTTAGCTGTAAGCTTTTTTCATTTAAATAGTATGACTTGAAAACTCTGTGGAGAAACTCTTTCTTTATGCCCTTTTCATTATTATGACTTTCCCAAGGGACCATGAGACTCGTTCTAGTCATCACACCTGCCTCTAATAGTTGTTGATCCTTTTCTCCTTTTCCAAAATGATGAGATCTGAGTGCCTAGGAAGCATTCAGCTTGGGACAGGTTACACCCATCCCCAAGGAGAACCTACAGGGAGCAGGTCCCCTAGCGACAGCTTTCTATCAGTAGCATCTTGACACTGCCCATCAGTAGTTCATTGTAATTACTGCTTTCCTCTGCCATATACTGACCACGAGTGGGAGCTGGGAATCATGCACATTGTAGAAGGAATTTTCCATCACCCATTTCTAAATGAAGGTGAGATAAGATGTGCTCCAATCAAAAGAGTAAAATGCTATAATGAATAGGCTGTTTTCATGGTGTTTCCCAAGAGGAAATGACCTACCAGGGCTTCATAAGGGAAAGAGTTCATGCTGAGTTCCTACTTTGAGTTACTAAATCAATCAAAGCTCTAAGAGAGAAAAAAAAAAAAAAAAAGAAAGAAATAGAATTTAACCAAAGTCTAAAAGCTTTCAAATTTTCCGCTTTATGAATCTAGAAATTACTTCTCTGTGTCACTAGAATCAAATAGTTATCATAAGAGCAATTACTTATATAGCTCTTGTTACATGTCAGATACTTTTCCAAGCATTTTAGCTTCATGAAAATTCTATGAGGCAGATATAATTTTCCCTATGTAAGGATACTCTCCCTGTGTCATAGGGGAGGAGTCTAAGACACAGAGAACTTAAGTGATTTCCCCAAAGGCACAGCCAGTGAGGTGGAACTAGCTCAACTCAGGCAGTCTAGCTTAAGTATGCAACTAGTGCAGTATACAGCACTGTGCTAGACTGTATAATACAGTACTGCCTCTCCAGTACTGGATTCTCATTTAAGTCCCCAAAGTATTTATGAGTAAACAAAGAACTTTGCCACTAATATCCTAATTATTGTTGAACACAGGTAATAAATTAGCAGTACCAGGATCAAATCTAGCCAGTAGATGTACATATTTTCTTTAGTCAATGTTTATTTTCAAAATAATATAAATTTGTTTTGTTTTGCTTTTTGGTCTTTCTGAGACAGGGTCTCCCTGAGCTATAGCTGCCTGGAACTCACTCTGTAGACCAGGCTGGCCTTGAACTCACAGAGATCCGCCTGCCTCTGCCTCCCGAGTGCTGGGATTAAGGGCGTGCGCCACCACGCCCAGCAAAATAATATAAATTTGAACATACTAGACAAAGCAATTTCTCTGTAATTACCCAGTGTCTCTATCACTTTACAATACCACCTACTTGACCTGTAGGCATTTAACTTTCATCTTTTAGCATAAATAATTCATGCAGCATTACATGGCGTATACTTAAAAGTATGTGAACTTGGGTTCATACTGAAAAACTGTGCAGAAGCAATGATGTTTATCTGTTGTGCGTTATGCAAAACTAAGAGTCAAACTCAGCATAGTAATTGGCTTCAGATCTTGGTTGGGCAAGTGTCATGAGGTCACAGAGAGCTCATTTCACTTGAGCATTTTTATTATTTTCAAAGCAAGAAATTTTATCTACAACTTAACTGTCTTGAGATTTTTTTAAGGGAAAATAGGTAATACAAAATGAGAAGAGTGACTCATTTAATTAGCAAATATATATAGTAACAATCAATATTATTCAAACCATTTATGTAGGGGCAGAAGTACAAAGATTAAAAAAATAAAAAAGTATCGAAAGTCTATAAATAGTACCCCAGAATATTGATACCTATAAAGTAGAGGCAGCAGGTAAGGTGATCAAAAAATATGGGTAGATTTGAATGTATGGAATAAAGGGAAAAATCATCCTAAACAGGGGTACATCTTTGGTTTGATCATTTGAAGTTTTATGCAATAAATATACCTAACAAGACTGTCTTAAAGCCATGATCTGACCTTTTTTTAAAGATTTATTTATGTTTATGTGTATGTGTGAGTGCCTATGTATGTGCATCGTGTGTATGCCTGGTGCTTGTGGAGACCAGAGGAGGGCATCAGATCCCCTGGAACTGGAATTATAAGCTGTTGTGAGCCACTATGTGGGTGCTAGGGACCAAACGTGCGTCCTCTGTAAGAGCAGCCAGTGTTCTTAACTGCTGAGCCATCTCTCCAGCTCCCTGATTCTTGCTTTGTGGTCAGGGACTAGACTTACCATGTAAGTTCCCATGTTTTCTTTCCAGGGGGACGAGACACTGCAGGTCTTGGAGGAAAAGGGGGTCCTTATCGGTTAGATTCTGGTCACCCAGTGTACCAGGTCTCTGAGGTCGAGAAAGATGCAGTTCCTGAGGAGATCAAGAGAGCTGCAAGAGAAATGGCCCAGAAAGCATTTCAGCAGAGGTGAGTGAGCCCTATGCATCTAGAGCAGTGCCAGTGCCTATACAGAGAGAGAGAGAGAGAGAGAGAGAGAGAGAGAGAGAGAGAGAGAGAGAGAGAGGAGAGAGAATATGAATGCTCAAGTCACAGGCTACAGAGGCTTTGTCCTTGTACGATACAGAGAAAGGTAAAAATCAAGGGGCTAATGACATGAGCTAGCGCCTATGCTCGGTAGGATTTGGAGATACAGAAAGAGCTAGAACATTCCAGACCCCTGCCCCACAAATGAAACAAACAAACAAAAACAACTAAATGAACAGAAGTGGCAGGGCAGAATGAGTAGTGCCAATGGTGGCATGGTGGAGAGCACCATCTTGCCTGCCTGGACAAAGGGACCAGCTGGAGGCAGCCGGTGAAGTAGGTGGGGAGGCCTTGTCAGCAGGTTTTGGCCTGGAAATCCAAACCAAGTGAGCCTGTGGGTTTCAGATGCTCCACAGCTGCTTTGGACCACTTTGGTTGGCCTCACCTAAAAAGGAAGAATCCACAGGATGCGTTCACCAGAAATCCAAATGTGTTCTTCAGCAAAAAGTGAAAAATACCAAAGAACCAGTAATATTTCCTTTCAAACAGAAGGACCTAGTGGTGGTTTGGGAAGGAGATTTATATTTTTGTGCTCAAAGAGCTGGAGCAGCTAGACAAAAACAGGCTCAAATGTGTGAGTTATGAAATTCCTCCCACGAAGAACAGCTGGGATTTCATTACATGCTCAGTGCTTTCACATCCTGCAAGTAAACAGGGCAGAACAATAGAGACAGAAATGTAGACAGCAGGCCTGCCACACCTCAGGAAAGCCTGCAGGCTTCAGGATCCACATGGACCAAGCAGGTAAATAACCCATTCTGCTCTCTGTTAAGTGCTGCCCTCAGCCCAGATACTGGCCTCTCGGGGAGCCTTAGACAGTTTATCTGTTTGCACTGTGCCAGAGGCTTCACTCTTCAGAGATGGGAAGCTTCCTGCTCAGAGAGGTTGTGGGGATGGATAGCTTTTTAGGTACCAAAGTAGTTGTGATTTCTAAAAAAGATGTGGGAGTAAAATTAAGTCATAATGAAGTCTTGTTGGAGCTAACATTGTTCTACATTTCATATGAATAATAAAGCTGCTTTTTGAAAAAAAAAAAAAACAATCATTAGACAGGCATCATTCTCCTCTCTTCAGTTAGTGAGTGACTTGTTATTCCCATGCCCAAGTCCTCACAATTAGATAGTCTGAATTTTACTTACACAAGCATGCAGCAGAGTGCCCTGGTACACACATGTTCTCAGGGAGGTAGAGAGACTTCACAGTGGCACTTAGGCATGAGTATACCACCCCTTCCCTTATTGCCACTAGAATGAGAGCCTGTTTAGAGGCTGTTAAGGACCATTGGTTGCCCTACAGGGGAAAATGATCAATGGCCATCAGTGATACTAAGACAAAAGAAATTAGTGATTATAAGAAAGGAGAAGGGATTGGGAAAAAGAATAAGAGGGAAAACTATACCCCTCCGCTAAATACTGCAGAGAAGAATCTCAGTTAAAGAGATGGCTCAGTGGTTAAGAACACTGATTGTTGTTGCAGAAGACCTGGGTTCGAATCCCAGCACCCACATGGCAGCTACCAACGGTCCGTAACTCCAGTCCCAAGGGATCTGACAGTCTCTTCCGTCCTCCGCAGGCATTGCACGACACTGATGCACTTACCTACATGCAGGCAATACATGCATACACATAAAATAAAAACAATAAATAAAATATTTTTTAAAAAAGAGAGGTGGCTCAGTGGTTGAGAGCACTGGATGGTCTCACAGAGGACTTGGTTTTGGTTCCCAGCACCCACAGCAGCTACACCCAGCCATTACTCCAGTTCCAGGGAATCTGACACCCTTTTCTGGCTTACATACTGTCCTTTACTCCAGTTCCAGGAGATTTGACATCCTCTTTGCTTTTGAGGGCATTGCATAACATGGATGCACTTACATACATGCAGGCAAAACACTCATATACATAAAATAAAAATAACTAGGAGAATACCATAGATGGTTAAAAGACAGAGGAGGTAGGCAGGATATGAAAAGGAACAGAAGAAATAAAAACACAGAGATCCTGGGCTGGAGTGATGATTCAGCAATTAGGAACACTGACTGTTCTTGCAGAAGACCCAGGTTCGAATCCCAGCACCCACATGGCAGCTAACAAATGTCAGTAACTCCAGTTCCAGGGGATCCGACAGCCTCTTCTGTCTTCTGTGGGCATTGCATGACACAGGTGCACTTACCTACATGCAGGCAATACATACATACACATAAAATAAAAATAATAAAGTATTTTTAAAAAACCAGAGATCCTGAGAAAGATAGGATACAGCAAAACAATGAGAAAACTTTTAGAAATAAATAGGGCTTGCAACCCATTGATGCGTATTTCATTTAGTACTGATGAATTTTTTTCTTTAACTTTTTATTATGAACCTTGTCAAGTATAACCTGGAAGTTGAGAAAAAACACATGATGAACCTGTGGACCTGCCTCCACCCCACGACTAACTCCATGGAGGAAAATCCAACTCCAATCCCGTCCTCCACTCCTCCACTCCAGTCCCGTCCTCCACTAATCCAAGATACATCATTCTGTTATAAATATTTCAGACTATATATTCAGTCTTATACACATTCATTCTTTAAATTAATGATTCTTTGCTATTACCAGGTAACTAGTTTGATTTTAGCCATATGCAGAATGAGGCCAGGTCCTATGCTGTTTACCACAGCCCTTACCACTCTTCTCTTTCCCATCTTATTGTGAGAAGTTGATTCTCTCTACTGACTATCCATGGAGACAATACCTGGTACATGACAAGCACTCATACATGGAATAATAATACACATGTGCAGACAGGTACCAGTGTCACCCTTTAGTAGCTGTCCTTGGCACCTGGTTCCAGGACTCCACTACTCTCCTGACAATACTAAAAACTCCAGTCTCATATATAAAATGACAGCATTTACATATAGCCTACACACGTACTTTAAATAATTTCTAAATTAGGGTACCAAATACAATGTAAATGCTATGTAAATAGTTAGTAAACTTTATTGTTTAGGGAATGATGAGAATATGTGTTTAGTAGAAGTTTTTCTCCTGAATATTTTCAATTCATGAACATGCAAATGCAAAAACCACTGATATAAACCATGGATCCTCCCATTATCCACATAGCATTAAGTTAGCATCTGTTTCTGTCTGGCTTTAAACCAGATACTGGTCCTACATATCAAGAGTTGATCAATTCAGGTCAACTAACAGAGGGACAGAATCAGGAGACATGCATAACACATGACAGAGACATCACACCAACATATGAGAGGCAGGGAAGGACTCCTACACTCTTGGAAAAGCTGCTGGGTGGGCATCCACTGTGGAAACTGCATACACCACCATTTGCAAAACTAATCAGGCTCACACAGTGGATCTCAGCTTATGTTTGTTTTCCTCACAATTGATTCAAAATTACAGTGTTTAAGTCTAACCTGTAGGAAAAAGTAAAATAACTAAAATTTCCAGACTCTTACATAACAATAAATATACCCTTTAAAAGTATACTGTGCCAACAAAACATGGTTTGTCCACATTGATTACCAGGATGAGGAGCAGCTGGGCCCTGCAGCGTTGGCGAGAAGTGAAGAAAACAGAGATGTAGTTCTCCTAGCTGGACGGGCATTAGAGTCTCAGCAGTAGGGGGCGTATCTCATCCAGAGACTAACAGTTCCTGCTTTATGCCATTCCCTGCTTCAGTCTTCATCATACAGAATTTATTATCCACTTTGAACATCTTGCAAGTGTTTGGCCTACAACAGAAGCAAAGCTTACATAATCTGAAATACAATCTCCAGATTTCCTCATAATTAAAATAACATGCGATGTGTTGGGGGCGGTGCAAGATGATCACAGCAGAGATAGCTGTATGGCTAGAGCTAATTCTGATCCCTTTGTTTAGGGAATGATGGCCTTTGGAAGAGTGGCCTTTGGTAGGCCACTCTGCTAGAGGTGATTTACCAGCTGCCTGACTTCTGTGTGTGTGTGTATTCTGTTGTTTCCTCTCCCACATACTCCACTCCAAGGACAAGTGCTGTCCACACATTTCCAATCAGCACTAATCTGAAAGTGCATAAGACTGACTAGGTGTGACGTGATTAGGTGGCATGTCTTCATTGAGCCAACTTCTTTCGGCCCAACACAGATATGACTGAACGTAATGAAATTTAGAGAGAATTCACAGATTGCCAAAACTAAACAGAAGATGCACTGTTAGAAGGTGAAGTCTTAGACACACATTCATTATTCTTCAGAATGGAGTTAATAAGATTTAGAAGGGCACCTTGGGAAACAACCATTTGGATATTGTAGTGGCTTTGTCTGTATTTACCTTTTGATAGCCAGTTCTTTCCACTGTGATACATGGAAAGTGTTGTACAATGGCATTTATTGAGTGTCACTGATACCAGGCACTGTGCTGAGTATTAGAGACTCAAAATATAAGGTGTGATCTTATTCATACATACATACATACATACATACATACATACATACATACATACATGAGTTCTGAGTTTCCAGCCTCTGATTGGATTCTTCCCAGTGCTTAGTTAAGACTAAAAGCCATTCATTCTCCCTCAGCACTTGAGCTCCTTTCCCAACCTAAGGTGACAAATACTTTACATAATGGTTTCAGCTATACACCTAGGTTCAATTCTGCACACACATACACTTGCACATGCACACATGCACTCATATGCACACACACGTACACACAATTTAAAGAATGCGTTATGCTTAGGTGTTTGAGTGAGGCACTCCTTATTGTCCTGGTATCGGCACCTCTAATATATGTAGATACACATAGTGTGTTAAATTAGTATATCATGGCTATCACACTGTAAAATCCAAGTGCATTCACTTAGTGAGAGAACCTCCTCCTTAGGATTGGTTTAAGATGCAGCATTTAAAATAGTTATAAGTCTCACTTATTTATTACACTCATTCTTTTGGAAATTATTCTGAGCACCTGTTATCTGTTAGGCACTGTGCTAGGCACTGTACCTGTAAAGATGAGAACACTCCACCTTTACTATGAGAAAAGAGCATGGTTGGAGAGACAGAAAGCTGGCAATGATAGCTCAGGCAGTAAATACTATGACTTTAGGAGGAAAGAAATCAGATGAGTGCTCAGAAGGCAGAATGGGGATCAGAGGAGATGATAATGTATTTCATTCTTGATGAGTCAGTGGGAGTTAGTAGGAAAAGAGTCATGGAAAGGATTCTTCGGGTGGAGGAGAATCACATGCGGGGCACCAGCACATGACCACAGTGCAGGGAAATGCCAGTGGGCTAGTGGGCCTACAGCAGAAGCAAATGATGAAAAATGAATTGTATTATTTTTTTATGTGTATGAGTGCACTGCCTGCATGTATGTAAGTGCACCCGTGTTGTGCAATGCCCACGGAAGTTTGAAGAGGGTGTTAGATTCCCTGGACCTGGAGTTATGGAAGGTTGTTAGCTGCCATGTGGGTGGTAGGAATGAACCCAGGTCTTCTGGAAGAGCAGCCAGCACTCTTAACCACTGAGCCATCTCTCTAGCCCCCAAAAATGATTTTCAAAAAATAGTGTACTGAGAGTGTAATTTCACAACAACAATATTAAAACACAACTATATACTTAAAGAGCATCATCAGTAACTTTAGAAAACTACCATATTGGGTATGTGAGACTTTTCATCATTGTGATAAAATCGTTGACATAAACAATCGGAAAGAGGAAGGGTTTCTTTGGGCTCACAGTTCTAGAGCTTTCAGTCTTTTTAGTTCTTGGCTCTGTTGACTCTGGGCCTTAGTTTCTTTACATGTTGCTACAACAAAATACCTGAAAAAAAGCAACTCAAGGGAGAAAGAGGTTGTTCTAGCTTGTACTTCCAAGGGGGATACAGTCCATCATGGCAGGGAAGGCATGCTGATAGGAGTAGGAAGCTGTCTAATCACATTTCATGGCCAGTCAGGAAGCAGAGATTGAGCAGGAAGTAAGGCTATGAAACCTCAAGTTCTCGTTGGTGATGACTTCCTGCAGCAAGGCTCCACCTCATAAAGATTCCATAACCTTCCCAAACAGTGTCACCAGCTGGGGACCAAATATTCACATGCATGAGCTTGTGGAGACATTTCACATTCAAACCTCAAGGCCCATGATGAGGCAAAACATGGTGGCAGAAGCACGAGGGAGAAGTAGGTATTCCCTGGTAGACAGGAAGCAGAGAGAGCAAGAGCCCAGTATAACCTTCAAAGGCACACCCCAGTGACCTATTTCTTCCCACCTACTTACCTCCAAAATTCTCCACCACTTGCCAAAAATAGCCCATCAGCTAGGGACCAAGTGTTCAATATATGAGCCGGGATATTGCATATTTAAGCCTTTAGAATGCAATACACTGGCTTACTTTCTTTAGGCCTTAATGTTTATCTCAGTCAACCAAACATAGATTTGGTTGACTGTCAGTCTGTAAAAACAGTCTATAAAAACAACTCATGAGAACTCTTGAAGGAATCTGTCACATTAACTGACCAGCTGCTAACATCACATGTCTTTGCTATCTGGCAGCAACAAAACCGTGTGCTATGAATGATTCAGGTCCTCACCGTTAGTCACCAGAACTTCATCATGGTGGGAATATTTACATGGCAGAAATCATCATATATGCAGTACAATTAGTACTTTTTATATTTGTCCTGGAGGAAAGCTTGTTAATCTCTTACCAGTGCACCACTGGACATTCCCCTCCTTTGACCCTAGGTATATCACTGAAGATGGCATCTCTTGCATTCCCTCCTTGAAGTTGGCATGAGTTATCAAGAAATTTTTATAGTTCTATCTGTATGTACCTAAGGGTAAAAGGTTCACATGATTATGGGGTAAGCTGATGTCTTCTTTGCCCCCCTGGTTTCAGGCTAAAGGAGATCCAAATGAGTGAATATGACGCTGCAACCTACGAAAGGTTTTCAGGTGCTGTTAGACGACAAGTGCATTCCCTCCGGGTCATCCTAGATAACTTACAGGTAATCTTTAATTTGTGGGCCAAAAAAAGAATATGGGCCCAAATCTGGTTTCATATCAAAACTGTGGGAGAAAGTAATCTAAGCCCTAATCAGCCACACAGAAAAAATCAATTCCAGGATGCCCACACAAAACTGTGGGCTTGCTCGATAGCTTCCTTAGTTAAGTTCTCCAAGGAAAAATATTTGACCATGTCTTTGTTCTTGTCCAGGAAGCAGTAATTTTGCCAGTAATCCTCTCAGACATTGACTTCCTGACTCCTCTTGGGGAAGATCTGTGTGCTCCTCACCTTTCCTGGAATTTCACAAATAGAGCTGTCTCCACAAATCATCTCACTGCCACTGAAAAAGCAGATCTAACCCAGTCAGAGCAGATCCTCCAGGGTGTGCATTCTCTATGCTCCATGCACCCATCCCTCTGCCCTCCCCTTTGCATTGTTCTGGGTTTTTGCAGGTTCTCAAAACTTAGTGCCTTAGAACTACTGGATACTAGACAGCTCTTAAAACTATTGATATTTCAGTATTTCTTTTGAATTACTAGAGACTATTATTTCTGTTCAACTTACTGAGTGTTCCTTGATATATATGAAATCAGATTATTTTATCTAAAGTGAGGGTGAAGCCTCATCCCAAGGGAAGGGGAGGGTTCAGAGCCCAGCCATAATATGCCCCCACTCTGCTGTGTGGTCTTGAATTTCATTTCCATCCAGTTCTTGACATTGATCACCTTCAGCTTTACTCTTTCCTTCTTTGGTGTTTGTTTGTAATTGATCTTATGAAGAAGGTTCATCATTTTTTGCTAGATATTTCATTTTTAATCTTCTGTCTTAACCTAAAACCCTGACCTTATTTTTTAAAAGATTTTTTGGCTATTGCTGTTTATATGTATGTGTGTCTGTGTGAGTGAATGTCATGTGTATCTAGGTACCCTTAGAATTCAGAAGAGGGTGTCAGATCCCTTGGAGCTGGAGTTAACAGGTTGTTGTGACTCACATGGCATGGGTGCTGGGAACCAAACTCAGGTCCTCTGGAAGAATAGAAAGTGCTCTTAGCTGCTGAGTCATCCCTTCAGCCCAAGATTGTTCTTCTTTAAAAAAAAAAAAAAAAGAATTAATGTATATGAGTATTTTGCCTACAAATGTGTTAAGTGCATCACATATGTGCAGTGCCCATAGAGGCCAGAAGAAGGCATCAGATCCCCTGGAACAGGAGTGACAGATAGTTGTTAGACATCATGTGGGTGCTAAGAACCAAACCTGGGTCCTCTGCAAGAGCAGATAGTTCTCTTAACTAACCACTGAGCCATCTCTCCAGCCCCTGCAAGACCTCATTTTTAAAAAGATCTAATTAAACTATGTCAAAACATTAGGAAAAATTCATTTCCAAGAAGAAAGATCTTCAAAAATGATTAACCAGATACCTAATTTTAAAATCTATGGAATATAAGAATCAAGATATTTACTTTAAAAATAAAATCCTATGTAGTTATTTAGGCTAAAACGCAAAGTACTTTGTGTAAACAACATAGAGCTGAATGATTGAGTTTTCGTCCATAGTTATGCACGTATCAAGATGGGCAACTGCCATGGTTCTGAGCTTGGGCAAAGCAGTTGACTAAAATGAGTGGTTCAGAGGAGGGCAGATAGGGGAGATAGGGTTTGTACTGAGACTGAAGAATGACTGCATTCCACCATTCCTTCATGTCTTAAGTTCCTAATGTATACCAGATGTTTGAGTTAAAAGAAAGAACTCTAAAGAAGGGAAATAAATGGTTCTCTAAGTTATGTAGGGAAGTTGTCACATGATGCTATGGACAAAGAAGGAAATTCTCCATGAAGAATATAGTGCCTGCTGAGTTCACTCTTGAAGGTGCTAAAGAATTTCCCATGTGAGAGAAGTTGAGCATTCCAAAAGGAAACAGTAAGTACAGATGCACAGGAGTAAGGAGAATCATGGTGTGCTCGTAGATGAGCGAGTGCTCAGTATGGCTGTGAAGAACGTGGATGGACGGGAGACAATGGCAAGAGAGGAAACTGGTGGACCCTAGGGTGTAGGGTAAGGAGAGCCTGGATATGATGAGAACATGGAAACAGCATTGGGTTTTACCCACTGAAGAAACACAGTAGAGGCTTTACGGTACTAGAAAGGAGTACAGAATTTTTTTTTTTTCATTAAGAGAGTCAGATTTCTCATTTGGTATTACTTAATATTTTGTTTGGTATTTGTTGGGTATCATTGTGTAATTACATTATAAATACTACTGCATTTAATCTCCACATGGGCCCTGTAAGATAAACTGCATTCATTGTATTTCTAAGATCAGCCTAAAGAGAAGCCAGATCCACTAATGTGACATCCTACAGAAGCACACACAAATGTTGGGTAAAGATCAGCAGCGAGGACACCACAGCCATGAGACCAGTATCAGAAAACGAGGCTAGCTTTTTCTGTCAGCTTTCAAAAGAAGAAAAAGAAAACTATAAAAGGCTCAAGGAAAAGAAACAAATAAAATTAAATAGGTAGAAACAAGATTGACACCTACTTAAAAAATCCTGAAGGACACAGGGTTTAGTATATTGCTAAGAATAACTAAAAAGTTTTTATTCTTTTCTTCCCTAGAAATCTAACAAACAAAAAATAAGTTTAAGTATTAGAAATGTAAAATAATACCAGATAATGTTCAGCATTATAATAATAGCAAGCATTTAATGAACATTTACCATATACCAAGAATTCAGTTAGGGGCTTTATACTGTCAACACTGTATCAAGATCTACATCACCATCATCATCATCACCATCTCATCACCACCACCACTGCCGCCACCACCATCACTTAATAGCTGATGGCAGCTCTGAAGCCATACAGCCTGGGTTGTGTAAATTGGGAATGGCAACACAAGGGGGCAGTGATGGAGATTAACTGAGAGGGCGCATGAAGCCCACTTCAAACAGTAATTAGAGTATAGCGTTCTCTCCAGAAGGATTAGTTTCTCATTACTGTCAGCTTACTGTCACGTTACTGTCATCAGCCCGTACCACAAGCCACACAATCAGGTACACTCACTGTGCTGTATGATATGTACTATATCATGAATAACCTTGCTTATCTTAGTCTCTACATTTAAAAATGGAAAACTGAGATAGGTACCTCAGGTTTCATAGCTATATTATAGAATATAGATTTTTTTTGCCCCCACCTTATAAATGAGGAAATTTAAGATTAGGCAGTGTAAATTTTCTCGGTTATATAGCCAGTGAAGCAGATGTCTAAGCCCAAAGCTCAGGTTCCTGTTATCTGTCAGGGCCCTGTTTCCTTCTCCCAGCTCTGTAATTCCATCCTAAATGCAATTCTTATATATACGCCTAAGATAATTTGCACTGTTATCTAAATACCAACACAGCATTTTTAAGTTTCCCTTATTGAATCTAAGTGAACTCTAGGGGAATTATCAGGTGAGTCTTCTAGTTCTCAATCCAGGGCCATACAGCTACTTAAAACATAGTTACTGACCAAGACTGAATGAAGCCTTGTGTAGAATATGAAACTGTGGCTAGTAACTAAAGCAAGAAGACTTTGATTTGGCCCCTTCCTGCCATCTTCTTCCAGTCCTGTGTCTCTGAGTGAATAAAATCTTCCAGCTGTTTGGGGTTACTGTGTAATCCCAATAACGATGGGTGTTTCTTTGGTGAGTGTAGAAAATGTGGCCAGAAACTAGCAAGAGGCTTTCCAGAGCGCAGCTTCATACCAGCATGCTGACTCCAGGTAGCCGGACTGAGATGTGAGGACCAGGAAATGCTGTTGCCTTTCACCTAATTTAACACCTGCCTCAGTGTGTGCCTGGGTCACAGTACATGTAATTGTCTTCAATTCAGAAAGCTCTCACCAAGGGCCTCTCTTGGTTCTTGACTGGGTTCTGTGGGACTATCAGCTCTGCTTATTGGGCCTTATCCCCTTTGTGAATCCACAGCATGATAGAATGGTAAGTCCTGTAAGTACCTCTGTTATACTTGGTTCAGAATCAGTCTCCTGAAAATAAGTATAAATAAATAAATAAATAAATAAATAAATAAATAAATAAATAAATAAATAAAACTAAGTTTATGCTTCCTTGTTTAGAGTTCATGTCAAAAAATTTTTTTTTGTTCTGAACATCTTTTTTTCCAGTCTGTCGCTGAAG